AAAGGGGAGCGTTAAATACGAAGAGAATCATATTTAATCTAAAGAAGGGGAGAATTAGTTCACTTCTTTGGATTAAGAGCCTTTTGATGGGATCTCCCTTTCCCACAAATCCCCCTACCTCGCTAACCTTCCCCTCTCCCCCTTCCTCCATACATTTCTTCCTCCCCAAAAACAACCCCACCCCAAAAAAAACCCTCCCCAGTTACATTCATAGGGAAGCGCTAAACCCTTAAGTAATGGGGGACATACAGGTAAGAGGAGAATATCTCCAGTTACCTGGATCAAGAACCCTTCGCCGGCATCATGGTTCCCCCATATGCACGAAGAAAGCAGTAGGTGGCTGGCTGGCCTGAGTAAATGGTACATAGTCACGTCAGGTGGTGGTATACCTGCCTTGGACTCAACATTATTCCACATGATATATACACCAGATTTATCTATCTCAGTATTTTTTTACACTGATAATTTACTTAATTCTTTTACTTTAAGGGATTAAAGTATTTTTGACTGACAGTGAAGGTTACATATGGCCTTAGTGACCCTTTAAATAGTGGATAAATTTTAAACCCATTTAACCAACCAACATTATTCCCTCCAGTCTCGTACACGAGCGTGCCTCTGTCCATCAGTGTAAATGATTACGGTAATGTTTGTAAATGAAATTATTGTAGAAATTAAATGACCTTGTTAATGGTACCTGGTCCCTGGCCAAATATACACCAACTCATACCTATGCAACAAACCTGGGTATATATCTTGAGTTTTTTTTTTTTTTAACAGAGATTATAGCATTCTTGACTGGTGCATGAGCAGGCGACATGCAGCCTTAAAGACCATTCGAGTGCTCTACAGGAATTAAGCCCGATTAACCAATCGACCTATGCCTCGCCATGATAGTGGCTTTCTCTGCACTTGCAAATCAATATTATAATTACACATTGTAAACTATGCATGGAAATAGACTCCTTATAACATGTCAGTCACACATTGTAAACTTTTCAAATAAATAAAAATTTGAATTTGATGTATGATCTCTGAATCGCTTCCAGTTAGAGAGAGAGAGAGATCAGAGAATGTTATCTTTACCATCTGTTTGCCTAGAACAGTCGTCAGGGGGTATTTAATTCGATTCTCTTCGTCTCGGTGTATATATTCATACAGCTTATTGAATCCTTATTTTCAGGATTGAGGTATTCTTGATGTTCAGGTGCATTGCACTCTTAGTGACCCATTAACATTCACTAGCCTTTAAACCTAACAAATTCGCTGTTTACGTAAATCTTTATGTACCCATACTTATCCTGTGGGCGATAGTCAAGTTTAACAGCACACAGCGAGTCCCGGGACTGGACAGCAGCAAATTGTTTTCTATGCATATTAGTGGTAATAAATTGCATACAAAATTTATTGAGCTCAGTGCGGTACTAATGTGTTTGGTCATTAATTCGGTCACAAAACATTATAATGTAGATATATGTAGATATAAGATATTTACAATAATAGGCAGTCAAGGTATTTTTCCAGAATGGCTGGTAATTTGCCTCTGTAGATAATATCCTTTAACTTTTTTTAGAACAATTTCGTCTTTCTATAAAACACACTAAGTGCAGAGCAAAACTTTACTTACAAACAACGTTTCGTTCACGCTGGGGGCTTTATCAAACTTGATAAAGCCCCCAGCGTGGGCGAAACGTTAAACAATGCTTCGTTCAGTACATATTTGTCGGAAGCCCTGCCATCCGGCACTAGTCAACCTCATTTATTACTTGAAATTTTTCCTTCTCGTCCGAGAAGCGTAATAGTGTTGATGAGAATATTAAAACTGGATTTCGCAGTATAAAAATTCTTGGAAAATATCGGGCACAAAATCTGATTAAAACTTCGGTGTTTGAGTGGAAATGTCGCGTGCAGGTGCTGCTGCCTAGGTCAATGACGGAATATTGTAGAATGGTGTTAATCTTGGAAGCTCATGTTTATCTTCTTGAAATATTGTACCATTTGTTGTTGATCTTGATGTATCTTTGATGGTGCGGGGGAGACCAGTATCCTCCATGGTGTGGCGTCATGATATATTCATAGTGTGGGGGTCCTTGCATATCCTTGGTGTGTGCGGGATCCTTATGTATTATTCATAGTGTAAGTGCCTTATATTTATGGAGGGGGCCCTAATGTATCCTTCAGGGTGTGAGGATCCACGTGTAAACCTTCATGGTGTGGAGATCCTGATGTATTTATGGTACGGAGGCCCTAAAGTATCCTTTGTGATGTGGGGTCCCAGTGAAATATTCTTTGTAATGGGGGAAGGGTCCCAGTGTATATTTTGTGGTATATTGTGAGTGTTTTTGCATCGTTTGTTGCATGTGGGTTTTGGGGTATCTTTTGCATTGTGAAGGAGGGGGTCCTGATGTACTCACCTAATTGTACTCGCCTAATTGTGGCTGCAGGGGTAGAGACTCAGCTCCTGGCCCCGCCTCTTTACTGAACGCTACTAGGTCCTCTCTCTCCCTGCTCCTTGTTTTATCATACCTCGTCTTAAAGCTATGTATGGTTCCTTCCTCCACTACATCAGTTGCTAGACTATTCCACTTACTGACTACTCATGACTGAAGAAATACTTCCTAACATAAGAACATAAGAATGTAGCAACACTGCAGAAGGCCTACTGGCCCATGCGAGGCAAGTCCTTATCAAAACTACCTCTACCTAAAGCTACCCAAGAAATAACTCCCGTACCCAATGACACCATTCAAACCCAGCCCCTCCCACTCATATATTTGTCCAGTCTCTTCTTAAAGCTACCCAAGGTCCTAGCCTCTATCACCCCACTGGGAAGACTGTTCCAAGCATCTACAACTCTGTTAGAAAACCAGTACTTACCTATGTCCTTTCTAAATCTAAATTTATCCAACTTAAATCCATTATTTCTGGTTCTTACCTGGTTCGACACCCTCAGTACTTTATTAATATCTCCCTTGTTTATGCCCGTCATCCACTTATACACTTCAGTGATATCTCCCCTCATTCTACGCTTCTCCAGAGAGTGAAGATTTAAGGCTTTAAGTCTATCTTCATACGGGAGGTTCCTTACACAGTAAATCATTTTAGTCGTTCTTCTCTGTATGTTCTCTAATGAGTCTATAGTAAGGGGACCAAAACTGAGCAACATAATCTAAATGAGGCCTCACTAGTGATGTATAAAGCTGTAAAATAACTTTTGGACTTCTGTTACTTATACTTCTTGAGATAAATCCAAGTAATCTGTTGGCCTTGTTGCACACACTAAGGCACTGCTGTCTTGGCTTTAGATTTCTGCTCACCATGACTCCCAAGTCCTTTTCACATTCTGTATGATCAAGCTCTACTTCACCTAGATTATAGCTTCGAGGGTTATTTTCATTACCAAGGGCTAGTACCTTACACTTATCGACATTGAACTTCATCTGCCATTTTTCAGACCAGGACATTAATTTGTCCAAATCCTCCAGGAGTTCATTGCTATCCTCCTCAGTGAATTATGCGGCCTATCTTTGTATCATCAGCAAACTTACTCATGTTACTCGTAATCCCTTCATCAAGGTCATTAATGTAAATTATGAACAAGAGAGGGCCTAAAACTGATCCTTGTGGAACGCCACTAGTGACTAATCCCCATTCAGATTTCACTCCATTAATGGTAACTGCTTTCTATTGGTAAGCCATGCCTCTATCCATGCTAGAACTTTACCTCCTATACCATGAGCTGCCACTTTTTTCAAGTCTCCTGTGAGGTACTCTATCGAAGGCTTTACTAAAATCCAAATAAGCAATATCATATTCCTTATCACTGTCTACTGCCTCAAATGTTCTATTGAAGAACGTCAGCAAGTTTGTCAGGCAGGAACGACCTCTCGTGAATCCATGCTGAGATTCATTTGTCAAGTTGCGCTTTTCAAGGTGACTTCTAATAATGTCAGCTATAATTGATTCTAGTAACTTGCCCACTATAGATGTCAGGCTTATTGGACGGTAATTTGAAGGAACGGACTTATCCCCCGATTTGAATATAGGAACCACATTAGCCATCTTCCACAACTCTGGCACAACACCGGTAAGGATGGACACATTAAAAACACTCGTTAATGGCTGACTAAACTCCATCTTGCATTCCTTAAGTACCCTGGAAAACAACTCGTCGAGTCCCGGGGACTTATTTTGCTTCAGTTTGTCTATCTGTTTAATAACCATGTCCCTCGTGACAGTAATATATTAGTTAATTTAAATTCATCAGGAACTAAATAATTGTTAATTACTGGAATCTCATTTACATCTTCCTGTGTAAAAACTGACAAAAAATAGTCATTAGATAAGGAACACATTTCCAGTTCGTTATCCGTCAGCTGTCCATTCCCAATTTTCAGAGGTCCTACTTTTTCCTTCACCTTCGTCCTTAGTTATATCCTTAGTTGTGTGTTGGGGAAAGGTTGTGCACTTCGAGTGGGTGAGATGAAGGAATAAAGTGGTATGAATAAGCTGTCTCTGTATAGGTTTATGTATTGTTCACCAACAATTACTATTGTCATTATTTACATAATTTTTTTTCGCTTTCCGATGAAAAGGGCCTGTGTAGTGACAAAAGGAAGGCTTTTTGTATTAGTGACAGACAGAACTTTTGCAGTGTCAACATCTCGCTTTAAAGCCTCTCTATTTAAGGTATTACTACCGCCCACAAGACGCCACCTGAAAAATCTACATACACCTAGGCACCTATTCTCTGCTAGGTGAACATGGGTAGCAGGTTTTAAGGAGATTTACAACTTTCTCTTCTCTGCCAGCCCGGGAACCAAACCTACATCCTTCAGGTTATGAGCCGAAAACTCTTCAGTTAAACACTTCTACAGGTAATGTTGTGTTGCTCTTCCACAGGTAAGGATGTGGACGCTGGCGCTGGTGCTTACCGTTGCTGGTCTCTCACGATGCCTGGCCTACAGCGATCAAACCATCCGCAGGTACACTAACGAGGTAATGTCATAAGAAGCCAGGGTTATTAGCGGGGCCACGGGTGCCATGGGAACGAGAATATAATTTAGCTTAAGTGAGACAATGTATTGGTAATAGGGATTAGAAAGGCACTGTGGGAATTATAATATCAAGTATCCCGATGGAAGTATCTTTAAAAGGTTGCCTGAATTTACATTCGGCCTGTATTTTTTTGTGTGTATTTGAAAACGCCTCATTTGGATCGGCTTCAAATTTTCAACACAGGTGTTTTGTAACTAGTGAAAAGTTTATACAGTTACTGGCGTGTGCAGGTACCCTCGTCTTAATGTTATACAGAGAATTCCTTTTTTTTTTCTTGCGAATACTTGAGGAAAGCCTCTTCTGATGGGCCTCAAACCTTCAACACTTATCCTACTGAAAAGAAGGTTGGGATTCTTAATGCAATGTGTAGGTGCCAATTTGCCACTTTTTGTAAAATGGTGTAATCTCTTACTCCAAGCTTCTTTTTATGTAACTTGAGAATGCCCTAATGAAAGGGTCATGGAGGTATTGGCATGTTCAGGTGCACTCTGGCCAGTTTTATATCGGCCATTCCCGATTTGGATTTTCATTTCAAATTGAAAAATCCTCTTAAAAAAAATTTCAGTCTTTCAAGACTGGTGTATCCTAGTGAGAATAAGATTGAGATTATTATTTTCCAACTTTCCAATTTATTTTAAAGTGGCATTGGTATTTTTTCCTGTAAAATAGCTTTTGCCTATTTTGAATGACTTAAGTCTACAATAGATGATGAGACTTACACTGAGGATTATTATGCTTACGGTTAGGTTGTGCAGGTATAAATTTTCCAATTTATTAACATAGTAAACTTGGAATTGTTGGATTCTTTGCGATAACTCAAGAATGCATCTCTTATTGGCTCCGAGCTTTTGATTGTGTTTTTCTCTAAGGAAGCTTTGCATTGATTTTAAGTTGTATAAATTTTAACTTAATAGTTTTATTAATCTGAAGAATGTTTCTTCTGATAGGCGATTATATATTTAACTGTATTAGAAATTTATGCCGCCCATTATACTGTTCCGTATGCGTGCATTGTAAACTGTTCTATGCTTATTAGATATGATGATACCGTTTTAGGTGCGATCAAAATACATCTAGTTATTATTGTTACTGAGAAGCACTAAACCCATGGGAGTTCATACAGCCTCCGGGATCACTAAGACGAGGGCTACCAGAACTCGTATGGATTCCAGGGATTCCTTCGAGATTAGAGGTACCAGGGGGGGATGAGTGCCAGGAGTAATTTGGGATTCCAAGGAAGGTGGGGATTTCCACGAGGCCTCCAGGGGTCTCTCTAGGGGAGTCTCCAGAGGGGGCATCCTTGGGAGATGCCCTGCAGAGGCTGGGCATACCAAGGAGGGCTGGGATACTTGTTTATCAGCGTAAACATTTTCTTACGTGTGTACTCTCCTATAGCTCCTCTCAACTTCCCGCTTGCCAGATTTACTCCCTCCTAACCTCGCGGGCCTCATCATACCTGCTCTTAAGCTATGGATGGTGCCCTGCCTCCTCCGCTTCTACACAGAGATCATTCCACTTTCCGACCACCCTGAGACGGAATACTTCTGACATCCCTGTGGCACATCTGTGTCTTTAACTTTATTTGTGTCTCCGAGTTCCCGCTTCTTTTTCCTTGTCAATTGCCCTGATATGTTTGTATATTGTTATATCTTCCTTGGTTCTTTTATACTTCAGTATCGCTAGATTCAGTTCCTCTAGCCTCTCTCCTCATGCCCCCTTAACTTGGGAACAGGTCTTCTTGCGTAGCCTACTTATACACTTTCTCCAGTTTCTTAACATGCTTCCTGAGGTGTGGGTTCCATGCTAGTGCTGTGTACTCCAAGATGAAACAGACATGTTGCATAAAGTACCTAAAAAGACTGTTAAGATTTCTGAGGGCCACTCTTTGATTTGCCAGGATAACATTGGCTGCAGAGGTTATTTGGTTGATGCAAGCCTCTACCGAAATACTAGGTACTGTGCTCACCCGTAGGTTTATCTCTGTGAATGAGCTCTCCAATTTCTATCCCCTGAGACTATACACGGTGCCCGGTCTTTTGTCCCATTCCCTGTTCTTCATAAACTTGCATTTGCAGGGGGTTGCAAATGTATGTAGTTTTTCCAGATGCACTTTCAGTTTTTCCCTAACCTCGTCTATTTTTATTTTTATCAGTTTACATCAGCAAACAGAGATACATCTGACTCGATCCCATATAGAATATTTGCAAAAACTCTGAACAGTACTGACTCTAATACCGATCCTTGTTGGACCCCACTTGTTACACTTTCCCAATCTGAACGTGTGTGTGTGTGTAAGAACATAAGAGACATGTCAAGAATGGGAGGGGAAGGACTGTTGTAAGAAAGAGTAGGAAAAAAGGCTGTTAAAAAACAAGAAGAAAGGAAAGGTAAATAAGCAGGTTGACAACTTTAGATGGGTTTTAAGGAAGTGACGAATGTAGGGAATCAATCACAACTCCTGTCTCTTGCCTTAAACTATATATATGTATGTAAATATATATAGTGGTACGAACACTCTTTATATGGGTGTGAGGCATTGGTTATAAATGCTACAGCAAGGAGGCTGGAGGCAGTGATGTCTAAGGGCAATGTGTGATGGAAATATTGTGCAGAGAATTCGTAGTGTGGAAATTAGCAGGAGATGTGGAGTTACTAAAAGTATTATTCAGAGGACTGAAGAATGGATGTTGAGGTGGTTTGATCATTTAGAGAGGATGGAGCAAAACAGGATGACTTGGAGGGTGTATAAATCTATAGTGGAGGGGAGGAGTAGGGGTGGTCCTAGGAAAGGATTGAGGGAGGGGGTAAAAGAGGTTTTGATGCAAGGGGGCTTGAACTTACAGTAGGTACGTGTGAGCATGTTTAGATAGGAGTGAATGGAGATAAATAGGTTTTGGGACCTGACGAGCTGGAGTGTGAACAGGGTAATATTTAGTGAAGGGATTCAGGGAAACTGGTTAGTCTGACTTCAGTCCTGGAGGGTGGGAAATACAATGCCTGCACTTTAAAGGTGTTTGGGATATTGGCTGTTTGGAGTGACATATAAACTGTCGTATTTGGGTGCCTCTGCAAAGACAGTGATTGTAAGGGTGTCTTAAAATTCATAACATGAAAAAATCAAAGAAATCGTTTTTGAAAATGAGTGATGATCAGTATGTACACGAAATTTCTTAAACTAACATGCTTTTGTGGTCACTGGTCCATATAATACAATGAAACTTAGTATTCATGAAAAAAATAAAAAGGTATTGGCACTGGGGGAGGCTTGAGCCCAATTAACCTCCTGTGGCTAAACCACTGATCACTGGTAATATTACATTATTAGTGTATACAGCATTACTGTCTTGCTTTTGCCTAGACAAGCTAACAGGCTTCCTCTGAATGCCAGCAGATATACCCTTGCTGTACTTATTACATTACTGAGGGGAGTGTTAAACCCACAGGGGTCATACATCTCATAGGATAGTGGGAGACAGTTGGGTTTGAATCATGAGAGGAAAGACAGGTCCAGTTCCTTGGATCGGAAGCCCTCCCCAGTACCAAGGCACCTCCTTTTTGTGGTGTGTACTTATTACAATATGCTGTATTCATAAAAAACGCTAAACCCATATGGGCATTTAGCTTTGCTGCTTAGTTATATCTAACTGCAACATGGCATATTCTTTTTCTAATTTTGTTTCTTTAGCCATTGTATGCCATATTTAGGTGGAAATGTGAAGGGTCTAAGGTCGACTCTCATTATTATTTGCAAACTCCACCAAACCCATATGGATCATAAAGCAGTGAGTCTCAGTAAAATGTCATTAAGAGAGAATAAAAATTTATCCAGCCTATTTATAATTCCACTTTTTCTCATAACAGAGAACCTGCTGGTGGAATGAGATCTGTAAGGAGGAATTCCAGATGGAGTTTCGATGCAAGTGTCCCCGTTGGTCCTTCTGTCGCTCCCCTGGCAAGTACTACAATGCCTACTGCAGTGTTATGGCCTCTGGCTACATATGGAAGCAGCCAAGGTTACCCCGAGTAGTCTTTAAGTACAGCAGAAAGTAGGCACATTGATAAGATATTATTATTCATTTGGAAAACAGAGTGAATGTTAAAATTTTATTATCTAACAGATAAGCTTTGCCAAAGGCTAAAGTAAAAATAATCATTGCAGAAACTTCATGATCATATGGGATGTTAGACTGTTCCTCATGAAATATAAAAGAAATTAGATTATTTATCAAGGACTAAAAATGCAGTATTGTATATGCATTATATTATTTTTATGAGGGTTCATTGTCAGCTAAAAGAACTACAGTATCAGAGAATCTTTGTCAAAATAATGTCACCTAAAAGAACATTAGCGTGAAGTCAGTGTGATCAGATGTAATTTATCCTTTTATAATAAATTTCTGATATTCCTAACATGATTACATTTCTTAGTTCCATTGCAAGTTTTTTTTTTTCTTTTTGTCTCAAACAGATTCACTATTAAATATGTTATCATTTTCCAAATTTTATAATTGTTGGAATTATTATTATCAATGAGAAACACTAAACCCACAAGGGTTCTACAGTGTGTAGGGAATAAGAGGTGGCATAATCACGTTTTATCTGAAAGGAAGGGTAATTCCATATCTTTGAATCAAGACCCTTATCCTCTCCTTCCCTTGAAAGACATAATTGTTGTAGCTAAAGGGTATTATTTTAATTATCTTCACAATAATTTACCACATCTGCAAGGGTAAGTGCTTTAAAGCTGAAAATTAATATTAAATAATGTCACTACTTTAATTAAAATCTAAATGTAAACATAGTAGATTTGTAATCCCTTCCTCATTGGTGCATAGTTAATATGAGGGAGCAAGAAAAATCCATCCTCTGATCTGATCTGACTTTTTTTTTATTTTACTTGTCGTTACCCCACACATATTAATGTTAAAGTTTTTATTAAAATGAGTTTAAACTACACGCATAAGCTGAAAGTAACTGAAAAGGTAACGTAAGTAATACAAAGATTATTATAGTATTGTATTTATGGAAAACTCATACTAGTTATTCAGTGCTGTGTCAGTGAGAAGGATAACTGACAGGGTAAGGAGCTAGTTGTAACAAATCAGTGTTAGTTAAAAGAACAGTCTGCAACAAAGGTTAGACTGTCCAAGAGGAGGGCGGACAGACCAAGCATGTCAGGGTATCAAAGCTTCTGATGTGATGATGAAGCACACTCGGATAAATAGAGCAGTTGATGAAAAGATATTAAACTGAACAAACAGAATTGTTGAAGATTTTTTATTTATTTTAATGTGTGTAGTGCTAAACTTGTAGTGGTTATATAGTGCCTGGGGAGGCACTAAGGTTTGATCCAAGGATGGGAAAGATAAGTCCAGAAAATCCTTACAGAGGGGTGTGTTGTGCACACAGATTATAACCTATAAGTATTATTCCTAGACAGCTGTTAATTTAAACAAATGAAGTTGACTTGGAAAAGTATGAGTTTTTTTATAAAAACCTTTAATTAATGTTGAAAATATTAACAATGCTTACTTTCAGTACATTGTTATATTCAAGGGGGAGTGTTAAACCTGTAAGAGCCATAAGTAATAGCCTAAAAGTAACAAATACACACACTGGTAGGTAGGCATAGGCAAAACATTGTACTGATCAAGTCTCCATTTGCTGTCTTTTTTGTCATTGGGGTCATGTAATACCTGGGAATGGGAGGCAGTCTGATTTGATATAAGGAAAAGGATGACAAATCCAATTCCTTTGATCATAGAATCTTTCAAAGTATTCTTTATTTAAGGGAAAGCGCTAAACCTGTAAGGGTCATATAGTATCTCGGGGAATTGGAGGCAATCATGCTCGATCTAAGGAAAAGGAAGTAAAGTCCAGTTCCTAAGATCAAGAGCACCTTCATTGGCATCAAGGTACCTCTCCTCGAGGGGCTAGGTGCACACCATTAGCCAATGAGATTTATCAAAATACAGTAGTACTGTAAAATAATAAAGATCAATAATATACTACAGTATTAATAAATGCAGCATTTGTAATTTAATGAAATATAATTTGCCTCGCCTGAGTTTATATCATATTTATTTAACTTTAGTAATTATAAATGCAAAAGCTGAACCAGCCAAAATGATGACCAGATCCTGTGGACTATTTTACAGTCTATTTCTTTAAACTGCCAAGTGAGTGGTTGATCAGCATTAGTACTCAAACTGACAAGTGGAAATAATAGTGAGCAATACTGTACCACATTTTGAACAGGAGATATAAATTACTTGCCAACTCACAATTATCTAGGCCTTAATGGAAGTACAGTAAAAGAAATTTAAATTAGTCAGACAAGCTGTTAAATTAAACTCTCTTAAAAAAAAAATTAATAAAATCACACAAAATGTGTTTTCTCTTAGTCTTACAATTGTTCTGACTCCCATCACTAATTATTAATGGTATTTATCTCGGCAAAGTATTTTTGTATAAGTGTAATAATGAAACATTAAAAAATAGAACCAATTATATATTATTTTTACAGTAAACTATTCACTACTTAAACATAATTACTGGTATCATGTATAATTTATAGACTATTTTACATAATGCATTCAAAATTATAATAAATGCACTAAATCCATGTGGTTCATTTAGTGCTACAAAAAATATACATCTGCAAAAAATGATAGATTTTGAATTTCCTTTGTCTTTATCATAAGCCTATTCATGGAGAAGGGTAACACACTGTCTGGGGAATGGAAGGTAATAAGGAATGATCAAAGGGGATGGTAAGTGATTCCTTGGATCAAGAGCCCTATAATATCAAGGCACCCTCCTTGAAGGGTTCTTTTTCTGTATATCCGATAGAAACCAAAATAGTTAGTTACTATATTTGTCACCCACATATTTTCAGAACTTTATATAAGATTATCTCTCGTAGAATTACATGGAAGGATGTTTGCCATTGAGAATCTGCAATGAAGCAAATATCTTACACTCACAAATGTTGCACACATCCTTTATGTCGCTTAAGGTATAGAAATAAGCCATAAAGTTAAAATTTTATACCATTTGTTATAGTACTACTAAGGAAATTTTCAAAATGCAAGTGTATATGTTTCAAGGGTCTGTGGGAGGGTACCGAGGTACAAGTAAAATAAATATTTATGTAATGCATGTACCTAACCATAATATTGTATCAAGTAAGCCAGTTGTCTATTTTATCTATACCGTGGAACCTTGGATATTGGCCAATTTGGATTTCAGCCACTTTTTTGGCCAAAATTTGTCCTGGATTTTGGTCGGCCACTCGGAAATCAGCCATATTGGATGCGTCCGCCTGCCATTCCCCCATGTTCGTGAGTCAGTCTCGCTGTGTGTCTGGGTGAGTGAGCAAGGCTCCGAGCATTCGTCCAAACATTTTGTTATAATCCATTGTTTTTTGTGGTTATTTATTGAATGCAACTGCATAATAAGCCACCATGGGCCCAAAGAAAGTTCCTAGTGCCAGCCCTTTGGTAAAGAAAGTGAGAAACACGATAGAATTCAAGAAAGAAATTATAGCAAAGCACGAGTGGTGTACGTGTCTTGTTTTATAACATAAGAACATAAGAATGAAGGAACACTGCAGCAGGCCTACTGGCCCATGCGAGGCAGGTCCAAGTCTCCTACCGGCTTATGCCAATGCACCCAACCTAGTCAGGTCAGGTCACATTGACTTAAGGGAGGAACACGGCAACCGACCTGGTAGCACAAGCTATCAGGTCCAACTCACACCCACCCACATCCACTCATGCATTTATCCAACCAATTTTTAAAGCTACAGAACGTTCTGGCCTCTATAACTGTACTTGGGAGTTTGTTCCACTCATCCACAACTCTATTACCAAACCAGTACTTTCCTATATCCTTCCTAGATATTTTCAGCACACTATTTACATCCCCTTTATTTATTCCTGTCTTCCATTTATACACCTCAATCATATCCCCCCTAATTCTACGTCTTTCTAGAGAGTGCAGATTCAGGGCCCTTAGTCTATCCTCATAGGGAAGGTTTCTGATACATGGGATCAACTTTGTCATCCTCCTTTGTACATTTTCAGGAGCATTTATATCCATTCTGTAATACGGTGACCAAAACTGTGCAGCATAATCTAAATGAGGCCTAACCAAGGATGTATAGAGTTGAAGAAAAACCTGAGGACTCCTATTATTTATGCTTCTTGATATGAAGCCAAGGATTCTATTAGCTTTATTGCGAACACTTATGCACTGTTGTCTTGGTTTCAGATTACTGCTAACCAGAACTCCTAAATCTTTTTCGCAATCAGTAATATTAAGATCTACATTATTTAGTTTATATGTGGCATGGTTATTGTCCTGTCCAACATTTAGAACTTTGCATTTGTCTATATTAAACTGCATCTGCCACTTCTCCGACCACTGCATCAGTCTATTCAAATCTTCCTGGAGTGCTCAAATGTCCTCATCAGAATGAATTCGACGGCCTATTTTGGTGTCATCAGCAAACTTGCTGATGTCGCTCTTTATGCCCTCATCTATGTCGTTTATGTAGATTGTGAACAGCAGGGGGCCCAACACTGACCCCTGTGGAACACCGCTCGTGACACTTCCCCACTCTGATTTCTCCCCATTTATGCAAACTCTCTGCTGCCTATTTGTCAACCATGCCTCTATCCAGGAAAAAATTTCTCCTCCTATTCCATGTGCCTTAATTTTCCTCAATAGTCTCTGATGTGGGACCCTGTCAAAAGCCTTACTGAAGTCCATATACACAATATCATATTCATTACCATGATCTACCTCCTCAAATACCTTAGTGAAAAAAGTTAATAAATTCGTAAGGCAGGAACGCCCCTTTGTAAATCCATGCTGAGATTCGTTGATTAATTTATGCTTTTCAAAGTGGCTACGAACTGCCTCGGCAATTATTGATTCCATAAATTTTCCCACTATGGAGGTTAGGCTTATTGGTCTATAGTTTGAAGCTAAGGACCTGTCACCTGCTTTGAAAATAGGTATCACATTTGCCATTTTCCACTTAATTGGCACCATGCCAGTTTGTAGTGATATGTTGAAAAGATTAACCAAAGGTTTGCTAAGCTCCTCTTTACATTCCTTTAGAACCCTTGCATACAGTTCATCAGGGCCTGGGGATTTGTTGGGTTTTAATTTATCTATTTGCCTAAGGACCATGTCACTTGTGACCCTAATCGTGCACAGTTTATTATCGTCCTGTTCTACATAATTTATCATTTCTGGAATATCGCTGGTATCCTCCTGTGTAAAAACTGAGAGGAAGTATGTGTTAAAAATTCTACACATTTCCTCATCACTGTCAGTGAGCTGACCTGAGGAACTTTTGAGTGGGCCTATCTTGTCCCTGATTTTACTTCTGTATACCTGAAAGAATCCTTTTGGGTTACCTGGAGTTTACCTGGAGAGAGTTTCGGGGGTCAACGCCCCCGCGGCCCGGTCTGTGACCAGGCCTCCTTAGTTAGTCTTCGATTCTCTTGCAACTTTAACCTCATAATCTCTTTTTGCTTTTCTAATTCCCTTTTTTATTTCTCTCTTTAACTGAATATATCGATTTCTTAATTGCCCCTCTCCTCTCTTGATTTGCCTATATATGCCTCTCTTTTGACCAACCAGATATTTTAATCTATTGTTCATCCATTTAGGAACATTTTTGTTTGATCTGATTTCCCTATTTGGAACGTAATTTGACTGAGCAGCTAGAACTATGCCCTGGAAAGCGTCATATCGGCAACCATCACCACCTACCTGACCCTTAGTCAGGTCATTCCAGTTCAGCCCACCTAAGTAATTTTTCAGCCCTATGAAATCAGCCAAGCGAAAGTCAGGGACGGAGACTTGATTGCCATTATTAGGGAAATTCCATGATATATTAAAACTGAGTGATTTGTGATCACTTTCCCCAAGCTCATCATTAACCTCAAGATTATTAATTAGTGTTTCCCTACTGGCAAGAACCAAGTCAAGGAGGTTATTTCCCCTAGTTGGCTCTGTCACAAACTGTTTTAAAAAACAATCCTGGATCGTATCAAGAAAGTCACCTGACTCTAAATTTCCTGTCAAATTGCTCCAGTCAATCTGTCTATAGTTGAAATCTCCCATTAGCACAACATTTTCATATGTAGATGCCTTACGAATTTCGTCCCATAGAAGTTTACTGCACTCCCTATCAAGATTTGGGGCTCTGTAAATCACACCCAAAATTAGTTTTTCTCAGCCCTCGAGAAGCTGTAACCAAACAGATTCAGTGGCTGACGCTTCTAATTTTATATCTTGTCTAACACAACAATTTAAATTGTCTCTGACATACATCGCTACTCCACCACCCTTCCTGTTGACCCTGTCAGTGTGGAATAATTTATAGCCTTGTATGTGACATTTAGAGGGCATCTCTCTATCTTTCAGATTGAGCCAGGTCTCTGTTATAGCAATAATATCTATGTTTCCTGCACTTGCAATTAATCTTAGCTCATTTATCTTATTTCTTACACTCCTGCTATTAGTATAGTAAACCTTAAGGGAGCTAGTCCCTTGCTGTCCTCTGCTGTCCCCCTTTGTTTGCTAACCTGATCTATTGTCTTTATTTATAACTTCATGCTGAATGCCTTTTATACATTTACTGTTTCCAACCCTAGTGTTGCAACCTGCTTGTTTCCCACACACACCCATACCTCTATCTTCTATCAGTTTAAAATCATAGGCATTTCACCAATGGCCTTCTCAATTGAGTTTGCAAGTGCTACCACCCCAGCCCCAGAGAGATGTACCCCATCCCTTGCATACATATCATGTTTGCCATAAAAGTTGTTCCAGTTGTCAATGAATGGGATTGCAAGTTCGTTGCAGTATCTGTCTAGCCAGCAATTTACACCAATTGCCCTAGACAACCATTCATTTCCTACTCCCCTTCTAGGCAAGATGCTACATATGATTGGGACCCCTCCCTTAGACTTAATGAAATCTATAGCTGACCTGTACTTATCTAGCAGCTCTTCTCTCCTACCCTTCCCAATATCATTTCCACCAGCACTGAGACAGATAATGGGCTTGTTCCCATTACCTGACATGATATTATCCAGCTTGTTAACTATGTCCCCAACACCAGCTCCAGGGAAGCACACTCTATCTCTCATATTCTTATTCCTATTACAAAAAGCACGGTCAATGTATCTTACCTGATAGTCACCAACCACAAGAATGCGCTTACCTCTGTTAGCAGGGGCAGTAGTACCCTTCCTTCACAGGCCACTGAAGTACATTCATCCTGAAGAACAGAGAAGCAATTTCCTACCTTCAGATCTTCACTCTTAACTTTCCTTATTCTGATTCTCCTCCCATTACTGGTTACCACTCGCCACTTGTAGCAGGTGCTGGACTGCACCTCACTGCTGGTAGCCGTTGCTACCTCCCCACCTACAGCCTCCTCACAGTGAGAGACAGACTGCACCTCACTGCTAGAAGCCTCATTCCCCACAACTCCAGCCACCTCACACACTCTCCCAGACCCATTGAGGTGGACCTTCAGCCTCCTAATCTCCTCCTGGAGAAGCAAGACCTCCTCCTTCAACTCTCCAACCTCAATTTTTAAAACACTGCAGAAGCAAGCCATGCTTTGTAACCGTCCGCACTAATCCCCAAAGCAGCTCAGGGTCTGTGACCTCACGTGACGACTGACCACTGACCTCTTAAGACCATTCCTCTCACCCAGCCCATGGGCCAGCAGGTCATTTCTAACTTCAAAAAATTCTACACAAAAGCAATGTTTCAAAGGTGCTTTGAAGTGACCTCAGACACTGACTTGACCCTAAGAGAGTTCTGGAGGAATCACTTCAATATCCTCCATTGCATAAGCCTTGTAGGTAAGGTTTGGCAGGGAGTGACTTCCAGGACTTTGAACTCTGCTTGGAGAAAATTGTGGCCAGAATGTGTCCAAGAGAAGGATTTTGAAGGGTTTGAGGCTGACCCTGACCCTGTCAACCCTCTGCCTGTTGTGGAATCTACTGTGGCTTTGGGAAAGTCCATGGGGTTGGAAGTAAGTGGTGAGATGTGGAAGAGTTGGTGGAGGACCACAGGGAAGAGCTAACCACTGCAGAGCTACAAGACCTTCATCTGCAACAGCAACAGACCACAGCTGAGAAAATGGCTTCAAAGAAGGAGGAAGAGAAAGGGGAGAATGTGCCTTCTTCAGTGATTAAGGACATTTGTGCAAAGTGGAAGGAGGTGCAAAGTTTTGTGGAGAAATATCACCCTGACCAAGCTCAAACAAGCCATATCTGCAACACATTCAGTGACAAAATCTTGTCTCACTTCAGGCAAATCTTAGAGATGCCAGAAACAGACCTCTCTGGACAGTTTTTTTGTGCGACAAGGGTGCAGTGACTCTCAAGCTGGTCCTAGTACCAGTAAAAAAACAAAGAAGGGAAGTAACCCCAGAGAGGGACTTGATACTTGAAGTCTTTATGGAGGGGGATTGCCCTTCCAAACAATAAGTTCTCCTCTCTCTTCCCTCCTCACCTTCTTCAATACAATAAGAGTCTTCAGGAAATGTATGTAATGTTCATTTATTAGTAAAATTATTGCTTTATTTTTCTTTCTCATTTTGTATGTAAAACTATAGTTAATCTTTAAAAAATGTATTTTTTGTTAATATTTTTGGGTGCCTGGAATGGATTTTTTTTTTTTTTTTTTTAATTAATCCATTCTAGACACCCAAAAATATTAACAAAAAATACATTTTTTAAAGATTAACTATAGTTTTACATACAAAATGAGAAAAAATAGAACAATTTTACTAATAAATGAACATTACATACATTTACTGAAGACTCTTGTTGTATTGAAGGTGGTGAGGAGGGAAGAGAGGAGAGCTTATTGTTTGGAAGGGCAATCCAACTCCATAAGGACTAATTGTATTTACATTAATTCTTGTGGGAAATATTGCTTCAGTTTTCGGATTTAGGTCAACCTTCTGGAACGGATTACGGCCAATATCCTGGGTTCCACTGTGTTTGTATCTTGGATGGAGAATAATAGGTCAACCTTTAAAGGTTCACCAGCTCCTTCAGCTCTTGTGAGATTCTTTACCTCCTGCCTTTGAAAGTTCTACATCGAAGAATGGTTGATTATTACTATAATCATAACTAAGTGCTAAACCCATAAGGGTCATACAACGCTGCAGGGCAGGGTGTGCTAAAAGTGTAATAGGGTTGATCCCAGATCAGCAAGGGGTGAAGAGTAGAACAGAGGTAGAGTTAGGAAGGGCAGTGAGAAGTGGAATAATGGTTGAAATAATTGTATTTCAGTCTGAGTTTTTTGTTTGGTGCCAGTTTGTAAAAGATATCCATAAATTTCCTGAGGCCATATGTGGTTAGCTTTCTGGCTCTGTAACCAAGGGACTGGGGGACAAGAGACCAGAGTTTGCATGCATATCTGCATGTGTTATTTATATGGATATATACTATAGTAAGGCACTTAAAAATTATTAAAAAAAATCTAGGATTCATTTAGAATGGAACTTATGTTTGACTAGAAATTCAAGATAATACTAATGGCATAATTAAAAATATTCCTTCAATATACAAAATTTATAAAACAAAAATAGTAGAATCTATATCAAGACTGTCAGTCATAATGAGCTGACATATAAGAACAACACTAGGTTACCCAGGTGCATAAGACATGCTTATAAATGTATTTATATTTTAAAATATTCTTTAATTTCCTCACCAATATATATCTGCATAACTTTCTCAAAAAAAAAAAAAAAATTGCTTACGAACAAAATTACAGTATTGAAAGAGTTCCTTATAAATGATTGTTTAAATAATTTGATCCTAGCACACAACATAATTACTTTTCCTTTAATACTGCTATGACTAGATTCTATATATCATATATAATCATAACTATCATCTTGATAGTCAGAAAATATTAACACATTGGCTGTTTCCCACCAAAGCAGGGTGACCCGAAAAAGAAGAAACACTTTCATCATCATTCACTCCATCACTGTCTTGCCAGAGAAGTGCCTACACTACAATTTAAAGAACTGCAACATTAAAGCCCCTCCGTCAGAGGGCAGGCACTGTACTTCCCACCTCCAGGACTCGAGTCTGGCTTGCCAGTTTCCCTGAATCCCTTCATAAATGTTACTCTGCTCAAACTCCAACAGCACATAGTCATAAAAACCATTTGTCTCCTCTTGCTCCTACCTAACACTTACATATGCCTGCTGGAAGTCCAAGCCTCTCACACACAAAACCTCCTCTACCCCCTCCCTCCAACCTTTCCTAGGCCGACTCATACCCTGCCTTCCTTCAACTAAAGATTTATATGTTCTCCCTATTTCATTTATATTTCTCTAAATGTCCAAACCACCTCAACAACCCTTCCTCAGCCTTCTGGATAATACTTTAGTAAATATTTAGAAAAAAATCTTGTTGAACTGGCAATACTACTCAGTCATTCATCATTAAGTAACAAGAGTGTATAAGACATTGAAATTTATTCTACAATATAATGTTTTTTGGCTGTATATGTACTAGATATACAAGCTGTTTATGGAAACTTTATGTACATGACAGTGTGTACATATGACAAACATATACATACCATGTATTTTATGTGCACATGCAAAGAAAATGCTCATTCTTGTACACATACATACTGTGGACACACACAGCTATTCATATAGACCCACTGTATATGCACATATACTATTCAGTTACATTATTTACATGTACGATCTCTATAAATGCAGATTTTTATCAACCAAGATTAATAGTATACGCACCAAGATACGTCTGAAATCAGTTGCCACAAGTAATCAGACTCAACTGTTTATGATATACATTCAGTCTTATTCCTCCGTAAGCCATGCATGTCACAAGAGGTGACTAAAATGCCAAAGGCAAGGGGCTAGTAACTCCCTCTGTATAAATTTATAGGTCACTGTGCATCGGTGGAATACGGCCAGTGTGTTGAAAGAAACAAAGAAATACATTCAGTCTTATAGTACTTTTGGGACCTAGGAAAATATACTGTTGTAGAGAGAACAAATTTATCTTAAAAAAATATTTAATACAGTATCTTCCTTACCATACAATAACTAGAACAACAACGTTGAGCAGGTATTAGTATATAAACAATATATACATTTAACATATAAAATGAAAATGATCAAGCATAGAAGACTGGCTGAATACTTTCTATATCAGCTCGACACACAGGACATGCTCTAGGTTCTAGTTTCTGTGCACATTCACTACATACACACACATGATAACATGGCACGAGCAGAACATCTCTGATGCCACAGCAAATGACACACATTAGACTCTCTGGCAAATCGTTGCCTTGGGCCTCTCTCCGAACTCGAGCTTCCTCCAAGACTCTCTCTTCAGCACGTCGACGCCTATCCTTACGCCACTTTGTATACAGTCGAGACACCAAACTAGAAGAAAAAAGAAAAATATGAATATAGTTTGGAGGCAATTTTTTTCAACAAACTGGCCGTATCCCACCATGGCAGGGTTACCTAAAAAGAAAAACATAAGTTTTTCTTTTTTAGGTTACCTAAAAGAAAAACAAAAGTTTTTTGTTTTAAATTTAGTAATTTATAGAGGATGGTGAAAGTGTTTCTTTTTTTGGTCACCCTGCCTCGGTGGGAGACGGCTGACATGTTAAAAAAAAAAAATTATCCAGGAGAAGGGATTACTAGCCAATTGCTCCTGGGATTTTAGTTACCTCTTACAACACGCATCGCTTACAGAGGAAGAATTCTTTTCCACTTTCCCATGGGGATAAGCAGAAATAAAGAACAAGAACAAAGCACAGATGTGAAAATTTTAATAATACAAAACAAAAGCAAAAGAAATTGCTGAGACCGGGCCGCGGGGGCGTTGACCCCTGAAACTCTCTCCAGGTAAACTCCAGGTAATACCTGGGAACCTTAGAACAAACACACAGACAAGCAGTAAATTATTGACTGAGAAATGGTAAATCCCTAGGGGTCATAGAGTGCCTAGGAAATTAAAGATAATTTTCATCCCAGAGCCCTTCCTCAACATCAAAGCAAAACTTCCTGTATTAAAGGAACAAGAGGCAAAGATTTGGTACATTTCTAAATAACTTTGGTAAAAATGCCATTATAGGCATAATGGTTTAATCTTAGTATTTACAACAAAAAATTATTAACCCTTTCAGGGTTTCGGCCATACTAGTACGGCTTACGTGCCAGTGTCCATGATGTACTAGTACTCATAAATTCTAGCGCCTTCAAATCTAGTGAGAGAAAGCTGGTAGGCCTACATATGAAAGAATGGGTCTATGTGGTCAGTGTGCGCAGTATAAAAAAAATCCTGCAGCACACAGTGCGTAATGAGAAAAAAAAACTTAGACCATGTTTTTGAATTAAAACAGCGACTTTGCGCTATATTTTCATATGGTATTTATTGTTGTATTCTAGTTTTCCTGGTCTCATTGTATAGAATGGAAGACATATTACAGAAATTGAGATGATTTTGACTGGTTTTACAATGAAAAGTACATACCTTGAAATTGAGCTCAAAGTAGCAAAAATGTTCGATTTTTACCAAAGTTCAAAAGTAAACAAATCATGCTAAACGTCCAATACACGTCAACTGGTGAGTCTAATATTCTTTCACAAGTGCGCTGATATTATTTATACCATTTCTATACTAATGCAGTGGTCTGCATAAAAGTAAATCTTATTTTATTTGTGAGAATAAAAATTCAAAGTGGAAAACAAAAGAAATGTAAGAGGGGCCTAGGGATGTGACTAATGAACAGAGGAAATGTTATTTTAGTGCCAGGAATGTCTTTCTTGTTTATTCTGGACCCTATTTGGAAATTGGCATCTTTTGAAATTTGTGTGAAATTGGCAAAATTGCTAAATTCTGACCACTGTATTGGATAGTTGAAATCGGTAAATTGGTGGTTTCTTGTACTCATTCGATAGAAAAAACGGAGTTCTAGCGAAATAGTTATGATTTTTGTTGACTAGTACATTGGAATTGGCCGAAAATAGGGCTCAAAATGGGCAAAATCGCCGATGCGTAAACATCGTCAAGACCGCTAACTTCGCGAGAGCATAATTCCGTAAGTTTTCCATCAAATTTCATACTTTTGGTTTCATTATGATTGGGAAAAGATTCTCTATCTTTTCATAAGAAAAAATACATTTTTTTTTTTAAATTTGGGGGACCCTGAGAACAAGTCTCCGAGAGGGCCTGTGAACCCTGAAAGAGTTACTTATTGAACATACAAAGAGAAACAAGAGAATGAGAAGAATACAATGATAAAAACTAACACTGCATTACCAAGAAAACCTTCCGGCGAGGTGCTAGTAAAGAGCTCTTATTCCAAAGAATTGGAGCTGCCCTCTGCTCTCTTACATCAAACCTCATTTCCTCCCATTCCTAATACACTATATGACCCCTTAGGTGTAGCACTTCCCTATGAATAACATAATAACCCATAAAATTATTAAACACACTTTGTAATGCATTCAAGTTAACATACTTAAGAAAAAAAAAATATAAACATAGTGCCATTCTTTCTTTCAATAATGTTTATTTTCAACTTTACTAATGTAAGCTAAATTTATAAGCTTCTACCACATTCTATAAACCAAGGCCAAAAAAATGTATTGGATTAAAAACAATACACAGATAACCTGCACATAGAAGAAAAAACTTATAACAACGTTTCAGTCCGACTTAGATCATTAACTAGTAACACACTTTAGCATCACTAATTAATGGTCAAGTTGGACTGAAACATCGTCATAAGTTTGTTTCCTATGAGCAGGTTATTTGTGTATTGTTCCAGTCATGGTATTTGCCTTTTTTATTATCTAAAAATAACATTCTTACCGGTAAGAAAAAAAGGCAACTCCACATGCTGTCACAAGGCTCAGCACTTTAATGTAAGGAATTGGTGCCTCCAAGTCCTCGATTACACCCTGGAAAACCATTTTTAGTCATAAATAATGACATGTATAAACTATTACTCAAGACTAATCCTTAGCAGTCTTTTTTTTTTTAACACACCGTCTCCCACCGAAATAGGGTGACCCGAAAAAAAAACACTTTCACCATAATCCACTCCGTCACTGTCTTGAAGGTGGGAAGAATAGTGCCTGCACTCTGAAGGAGGGGTGTTGATGTTGCAGTTTTTTAACTGTAGCGTAGGCACGTCTCTGGCGGCAAGAAAGTGATGGAGTGAATGATGATGAAAGTGTTTCTCCTTTACCAGGTCACACTGGCCTGGTGGAAGATGGCTGGTATGCTGAAAAAAAAAAATGCTACAATTAACACCACTGAACACAGATAAAGAAGAATAGTAGGGACAAACAACAGGAAGGCTACAAAGACATTTATTAGACAAGACCCGTTCAACAGGTCAATGATATGAACACAGACACAGAAGGGCCCCGCTTATACAGCAGGTTAGCTTCCTTGCTACTGCTGTAAAACAAAAATTGCTGTAAAGTGAATCATATCATTTTATTACCTTCAAATATATATAAAAGTCTGATAACAGGTTTACACTGTCATATATTAAGTGAGAAATATAGTTAGGCCTAAAAAATGCATATACCTGGAGTATACTTGGAGAGGGTTTCAGGGGTCAATGCCCCTATGCCTCGGTCTGAGACCAGGCCTCGTGGTGGATCAGGATTTTATCAACCAGGCTCTTACTGCTGGCCACACGCAAATTGACACACGAACCGCAGCCCGGCTGGTCAGGCACTGACTTTAGGTGCCTGTCCTGTGCCTTCTTGAAGACAGCCAGAGGTCTACTGGTAATCCCCCTTATGTATGCTGGGAGGCAGTTAAACAGCCTTGGACCCCAGACACTTATTGTGTTGTCTCTCGGTGTACTCGTGGCACCCCTGCTTTTCACTGGGGAAATGTTGCATCTCCTGCCGAGTCTTTTGCTTTCGTGGGGAATGATTTTCATGTGCAAGTTTGGTACTAATCAATCTAGGATTTTTCAAGTGTATATTATCATGTATCTCTTTCGCCTGCATTCCAGGGAATACAAATCGAGGGCCGTCAACCGTTCCCAGTAATTTAGGTGCCTTATCATACTTATGTGTGTCATGTAAGTTCTTTGTACTCTTTCCAGGTCAGCAATTTTACCTGCCTTGAAGGGAGCAGTTAGTGTACAACAGTATTCCAGCCTAGAGAGAATAAGCGTTTTGAAGAGAATCATCATGGGCTTAGCGTCCCTGGTTTTGAAGGTTCTCGTTATCCATCCTATCAGTTCCTGATCAGCCGGGCTGTGGCTCGTACGTTGGTTTGCGTGCAGCCAGCAGCAACAGCCTGGTTGATCAGGCGCTGATCCACCAGGAGGCCTGGTCACAGACCGGGCCGCGGGGGCGTTGACCCCCGAAACTCTCTCCAGGTAAACTCCAGGTATCATTTTCCTAGAAAATGCAGTAGATACATTGTTGTGGTCTTTGCAGGCGAGATCCTCTGACATCATCACTCCCAGGTCCTTCACGTTACTTTTTCACTCTATTGTATGGTTAGAATTTGTCGTGTACCCTGAGACAGTTTTAATTTCCTAAAGTTTTCCATATCTGAGTAGTTGAAATTTCTCTTCATTGAACTTCATATTGCTTTGAGTAGCCCATTTGAAGATTTGGTTGATGTCTACTTGGAGTCTTGCAGTGTCTTCGACGGAGGTCACTGTCATGGCAATCCAGGTGTCATCCGCAAAGAGAGACACGAAGCTATGGCTTACATCTCTATGTCAGATATGAGGAATAGAATGGGAACAAGTACTGTGCCTCGTGGAACAGAGCTTTTCACCATAGCTACCTCAGACTTTACTCTGTTTACTATTACTCTTTGTGGTCTATTTGTCAGGAAATTATAGATCCATCTACCAAGTTTTCCTGATATTCCTTTATCATGCATTTTGTGCTCTATAACACCATGGTCACACTTGTCAAAAGCTTTTGCAAAGTCTGTGTATACTCCATCTGTATTTTGTTTATCCTCTACAGCGTCCAGGACCTCATCATAGTGGCCCAGTAGCTGGGACAGGCAGGAGCAACCTGCTCTAAACCTGTGTTGCCCTGGGTTGTGTAATTGATAGGTATCTAGGTGGTCGGCGACCTTGCTTCTTAGAGCCCTTTCAAAGATTTTTATGATATGGGATGTTAGTGCTATTGGTCTGTAGTTCTTTGCAATTGCTTTACTCCCACCTTTGTAGAGTGGGGCTATGTCTGTTATTTTTAGTGAGTGTGAGATGACCCCTGTGTCCATGTTCCCTCTCCATAGAATGCTGAAGGCACGCGACAGGGGCTTCTTGCAGTTCTTGATGAACACGGAGTTCCACTAGTCTGGGCCTGGGGCAGAGTGCATGGGCATGTCATTTATTGCCTTTTCAAAGTCTTGTGGTGTTAGGATAATATCCAAGATTTCTGAGATGACCAAATTTTGTTGACCCTTAGTCTGGGCAGCGGCTCGCTGAACACTTGAGTCATATTGGGACTTTAGTATCTCACTCATTTTTTGGCAGTCATGTGTGTATGTCCTATCTCGCCTAAACAGGGGCCCAATACTGGATGCTGTTTTTCCCTTAGATTTGGCATAAGAGAAGAAGTATTTTGTTTTTTTTTATCAATTTCCTTTATGGCTTTTACTTCTCTCCTGTAAGATTCCTTCAGCTTAAGTTCGATATTTGTAATTTCATTGACCAGTGCTTCCCTTCGTATTTCAGATATATTGGGCCCTCTCAGGAGCTCTGTGCCTCATCGCCTTCATCTGTATAGGGAGCGTCTCACTCTTTCTAGTTTACATCTTTCTTTTTCTTAATGGAATACGCCCTGGGCAGATCTGAAGAACCACATAGTTTATTTTTTCTAAGCAAAGGTATGGATCCATGTTGTTTAGGATATCTTCCCAGCTTGTTTCATTTAGGACATAGTTGACTTGTTCCCACTGTATGTTTTTGTTACTGAAATTGAATTTTGTGAAGACACCCTCATAACTGATCACATTTTACTGGTCAGGAGCCCTGTGCATACATGTCTGTGCCTATATTATATTGTGATCTGAGTGTATTGTCTTTGATACAGTTATATTACAAATCAAATAGTCGTTTTTAATGAAGATGAGGTCAAGCATATTTTCCAGTCGTGTAGGCTCTTATATTTGCTGGTTTAAGGTGAATTTGGTGCAGAGATTTAGGTGTCTCAAGTTGAAATCTCCCAGTAGCAAGATGTTTGGGGCAAGAGTTGAGAGATTTTCCAGACAGTGGTCAATTTTCAAAAGCTGATCCCGGAATACAGTACACACATTATTTAAAATATTTCTTTCATTAGCTTATAGCGAGTGTTGAAAATATTCATGGTAAGAAATCTGAATAAACAAAGAATGGGTATACTAACTGAAAACCACTGTATTAGCGAAATACTGTAAAACAAAGTGCTGTAAAGCGGGGCCTGCCTTTATAAGATTTTACAGCAACTTCCAAAAGGTTAAATGATTCATGAAGCGAGAAAGAAAAGAATATTCTTTTTTTATGAAGGAACTGGGCTGGATCAACCCATTAAATAGATGATCATGACAACAAATGAAAAAGAGACAAAAACAAAATACTAACTATATGTGAAGAAAAGGGAATTAGATGAACAATCTGTGTAAAGTCTACATATAAATGCTAATAATCTTAAAAAAGATTAAAGCTAAAGGACATTATAAATAACCTAACAATGAGTAACAGAAACAAAACTGGGAAAGCATTCATAATTAGGTAGCAGTATTGATAACAGTTATGCATTACGTATCAACAGACTTTCTCCTGTACAACAGATAAATATACAATGTAAAACTTATGTAGTGCCATGGAAAATAAACTTTACTAAAATCCAAAACACAAATGCTATCAAATTTTTTGTGGTTAAAATACCAAATAAAAATGAAAATCTCGTAATAGTAGAGAGACAGAACCCAAAGTTAACAACACATGGGAGGGAGAAAAAATTTTACAAGATAAATGAGTAGCTGCATAATATATTATTGAAAATGATAATGAAAAGTCACTGTGAAAAGGAAAATCATTGTATTTGAGGAATTCCACCATGAAAAATAGATGAAGTAGCCAGTACAATATGTAAAAACATAGGTGTTCTATCTTTCCCGAATCCACACTTCCTATTACAGCCTCTTCTCACTTAACGACGGAGTTCTGTTCCTAAGACCATGTCAGTAAACAAGTTAATTTGTCATTAAGTGAGGAGCATACTATAATGGTAGTGGGTTTGTGTTAACTATCTTTGATACTGTTTTAATGTTACCTTTGCACCATTTATAACATTTCTGGTATACTTTTAAATGTTTATACAGCAGTGTAGTGTACTGTACATTGTAATAAACAGAATAGAGGAAATCAGCTCTACTATACATTATTTAGGTATACATAATGGTCAGAGAGCCCAGCGTAAGCCCAAGGCGTCGGTAAACAAGTATGTCGCTGAGGAGAGGCTGTATTTAGTATCCATTATCAATTAAGGAATTCATAGCAAACAAGAGTAATACAGTCATACCTTCTTGTCTTTAGTTGTAATCATATATGGTATGACATTAGCAGGATCAAGATGGAGACCCTCATTTCGCAACATGAGTTGTCCAATGCCCAGGGCCCTTGTACCTTCCACAAGCATCTCCTGCAAACATCAATGCTAGTTACACTTAGAACTGTCATTTATAAGGCTGTCTACTTAATACAATTCATATTACATATTTCTAATTATGCAGGATATCAGACTTGGTTTTAACAACCACTAATAGAGAATATAAATTCACACAAATAACCCGCACATAGAAGAGAGGAGCTTACGACGACGTTTCGGTCCAACTTGGACCATTCACGGTATTGTGCCTTTTTTTATTTAATATAAATTCACAACAAACCCACAAACTGGATATGGACTTTGGATAATATTTGGGTCTGTTCTAGACATAGGACAAATCAAAACCTTGTCTGAGGTCTAATGCTTTCATAGTTCTTTGAGCTCAATGTCTAAATATGAAATGATCTAAAAAAAGTTTAAGGTAGATTATTTTTTTTTTTTTTCAACAAGTCGGCCGTCTCCCACCGAGGCAGGGTGACCCAAAAAAGAAAGAAAATCCCCAAAAAGAAAATACTTTCATCATCATTCAACACTTTCACCACACTCACGTATTACCACTGCTTTTGCAGAGGTGCTCAGAATACAACAGTTTAGAAGCATATACGTATAAAGATACACAACATATCCCTCCAAACTGCCAATATCCCAAACCCCTCCTTTAAAGTGCAGGCATTGTACTTCCCATTTCCAGGACTCAAGTCCGACTATATGAAAATAACCAGTTTCCCTGAATCCCTTCACTAAATATTACCCTGCTCACACTCCAACAGATCGTCAGGTCCCAAGAATCATTCGTCTCCATTCACTCCTATCTAACACGCTCATGCACGCTTGCTGGAAGTCGATTATTATTGTTGTATATTCAAGGTGAAGCACTAAATTCATAGTTGTTGTACAGGATTTGGTGAATCAGAGGTAATCAAGTTAAATCCTGAGATCAAGACCCCTCCACCAGCATCAAGCCACCCCTGTACAGATACAGGGGGTGGCTTGATAGTTAAGGCATTACACCAGCTCAAAATCAAACTACAGTACCATATTATGATAAATTTATAAAAATCCTAAAAGATAATTTGAGGAACCATTTGTGACCTTGTGAATATTCACATTTACATTGGTACTCATGATTTTTTTTATATATTTATCAACCATTTTTTGAGAAATTCAACTGAAAAAAAAATAACTTCATTATGCTAGAAAATCCAGTCATTAATCAAGCCTTGTGTTCTCAGGTTCAATGGCCTGCATTTCAGAAAATGTTAAAAATATGATGTAAATAGCAATAAATACTGCAGTCAGTCCTCACATAGTTCAAGAGCACTCAGAAAGATAATGCAAAGGTGAAGATGGGTTTATGAGTGCCACAGAAAGATCAGGGTGATTACCAGCTATAAGAAGCATTAACACTAGTGGAGGCAGGACTACCTCCACCTTTAACTGTGTACTTATATGGGTGTGAAGCATGGGTGATGAATGTTGCAGCGAGGAGAAGGCTGGAGGCAGTGGAGATGTCATGTCTGAGGGCAATGTGTGGTGTGAATATAATGCAGAGAATTCGTAGTTTGGAAGTTAGGAGGAGGTGCGGGATTACCAAAACTGTTGTCCAGAGGGCTGAGGAAGGGTTGTTGAGGTGGTTCGGACATGTAGAGAGAATGGAGCGAAACAGAATGACTTCAAGAGTGTATCAGTCTGTAGTGGAAGGAAGGCGGGGTAGGGGTCGGCCTAGGAAAGGTTGGAGAGAGGGGGTAAAGGAGGTTTTGTGTGCGAGGGGCTTGGACTTCCAGCAGGCATGCGTGAGCGTGTTTGATAGGAGTGAATGGAGACAAATGGTTTTTAATACTTGACGTGCTGTTGGAGTGTGAGCAAAGTAACATTTATGAAGGGGTTCAGGGAAACCGGCAGGCTGGACTTGAGTCCTGGAGATGGGAAGTACAGTGCCTGCACTCTGAAGGAGGGGTGTTAATGTTGCAGTTTAAAAACTGTAGTGTAAAGCACCCTTCTGGCAAGACAGTGATGGAGTGAATGATGGTGAAAGTTTTTCTTTTTCGGGCCACCCTGCCTTGGTGGGAATCGGCCAGTGAGATAATAAAAAATAATAATTATTGTAATGAATATAGAACATGACTTTCCTACCAGGCAATTGGAAAGATATGTAAAGAAACAGTAAGGTGATGGTATCACTTATGTAAGAAATTGATAATGAATGGCAGATGCTCTGACTTTGTGGTGACAGCTGATGCACACTGTGCTGATGAACTCCCTAGCTGTGATTTGTGAGACAAGCTTGTACGTTTGACAATTCTACCTATGCGAGCCACACACCTCACCCTCACACAACCTCCCTCTAGAATCTAGATGTTTTGGAATGTCATATTGTGCATGTGCTCAGCAACATGTTACTATTATTTAATTTTATGCAAAACCAACAAGCAGATGAGTAAGACACGTGTGCCATACTATGGCATATTTATTGATGAGGCATTTCACCTTCTTCTGTTGAAATACAGGAGATAACAGAAGCTAAACACACCACCAAGGCTGAGAAACTAATCACCTTAAATTTACTTCCTCTTCAAGGCTGAGGGACTGATCACCTCATATTTACATCACTGCTTCTGTTGTCAGTATGTACTTCAAGAACGTATCCCATATGGTTTATCTAGTACACGAAGTGATGAAGGCTTAATCCTGTCTACTAATTTCAGCCTTGTCTCTAAATATCCAGGCTCTAAGAAATATTATCACAAATATTGAACTCTGTGATTAATTTCGTCAAATATACTACACATAAAACTACTTAAATTATAACAGATGCTATGTGAACCAAATAACTAAACATCCTATGTATAAAGTGTATATAGCATTAATACAATTCTGAATAAGGTTTAATCAAGCAAAGGAAATAATGAGTTGGGTACAAAGAACTTTATGCAAGTACAAAAATTTGACAGTAAGAGTAACTTACTTCAATGTGTTGAGTGCCAGTACTTCGAACACCCTTCAACCACCCCCATATGTGATCAGCTAAAGAATTGGATGCTGATTCAAACTTTTCACTGACTACAGTTAGTGCTACGTAATCTAGTTTTTTTGGATTTGTAATCTGCAAGAGATAACAGGTTAAATTACCACTTAAAAGTGAAAATTTTCATAAACTATATTGCACTAATTACCAAAACTGAAAAGAATCTCGTCAACATTGTAAACGATGATACTGTACTTAAGCACAGCATACAAACTTTTAAAATGCACAAAAGGATGTTGTCATTTCCTAGTTCTTCACCGTCATATATACGTAGTCATTCACTTATTATCCGGCCGTCAACAGAAAGTCAATCATCTTCCCAAGGTAAATAAAAATCATTGACACAATCAAGTAGAGGTACTCAAGGTAAGACTGAATAAATTGTCCAACCAAGTAAAGCCCTAAAGGTGGATAAAATTATTCTACTGGACGAAGACATTTTTTTCTAAGGAGAGGTTTAACTTTCAGTCTAAAGTCTGACATTAGGTGAATGACTATGTTAAAATTACCTTATCTACCACAAAAAATTTTAAGGAAATTTACATAAAAATAAAAGCACAATTATTATTATTATTGTTATTATCGCTATTCTTTCAACATAATGACAGTATCCCATTTTCTCCTTCTAAATTTAGTAATTTATACAGGAGAAGGAGTTACTAGCCCCTTGCTCCCAGTATTTTAGTTGCCTATTATGACACACATGGTTTACGGAGGAATAATTCTTTTCCACTTCCCCATGGAGGATAAAGGTGTGTAAAGGTAGAAAGTTGAAAGTGAACATAGATAAGACTAAGGTGATGAGGGTATCCAATGGTTTAGATAAAGAAAAATTGGATATTACATTGAAGGAGAGAGTATGGAAGAAGTGTATATGTTCAGATATTTGGGAGTTGACCTGTCAGCAGATGAGTTTATGAAGGATGAAGTTAACCACAGAACTGATGAAGGAAAAAAGGTCAATGGTACTTTGAGGTATCTATTTTATTTATTATTAACACATCGGCTGTCTCCCACCAAGGCAGGGTGGCCCGAAAAAGAAAAACTTTCATCATCATTTGAGGTATCTTCTTCTTCTTTCAACAAACCGGCTGTATTCCACCGAGACAGGGTAGCTTAAAAAGAAAAACGAAAGTTTCTCTTTTTAAATTTAGTAATTTATACAGAAGGGGTTACTAGCCCCTTGTCCCCGTCATTTTAGTTGCCTCTTACAACACACGTGGCTTACGGAGGAAGAATTCTGTTCCACTTCCCCATGGAGATAAGATGAAATAAACAAGAACAAGAACTAGTAAGAAAATAGAAGAAAACCCAGAGTGTGTGTGTATATACACCTACCATCCGACTTACGACCGAGTTTGGTTCCGACCAACTGGTCGTAAGTCAAAATGGACGTAAGTCAAACCTTACTACTAAATATCAACATCACATTTTGTAATGATTTTATTTTATTGTTTTATTTTGGTATTTCATTTTTTACTTTACTTTTCATGCTGTTAGTACTATATTTTATATTGTAAGGTTTGGATAAACACTGTGTACAACACAAACAGCTGTTTATTTCCCAGAAATTTGGCATACAAAACATGGTCGTAAGTCGAGTGGTCGTATGTCGAGCAGGTCGTAAGTCGGATGGTAGGTGTATATGCTTGTACATGCAAGTGTAGTGTGACCTAAGTGTAAGTAGAAGTAGCAAGACATACCAAAAATCTTGCATGTTTATGAGACACAGAAAAGACACCAGCAGCCCTACCATCATGTAAAACAAGTACAGGCTCCTGTTTTACACTCACTTGGCAGGACGGTAGTACGTACCTCCCAGGGCAGTTGCTGTCTACCAACTTACTACCTAGATTGAGGTATCTGTGGAGGCAAAAAAAAAAAAAATTATCCATGGAGGCAAAGAAGAGAATGTATGAGAGTATAGTGGTACCAACAATCTTATATGGGTGTGAAGCAAGGGATGCAAATGCTGCAGCGAGGAGGCGGCTGGAGGCGACGGAGATGTCATGTCTAAGGGCAATGTGTAGTGTAAGTATTATGCAGAGAATTCGTAGTGTGGAAATTAGGAGGTGAGGAGTTACTAAAAGTATTAGTGAGAGGGCTGAAGAGGGAAAATGCTAAACCCAAGAAAGATACAGAACACACACCTGGACTCCAATTCCCTTGCCCATCAACACAAATGGTATGTGACTTGTAGATAAATCGACAGTCAATTTATCGTTCATCCTGAAAGATAAAATAATTATTTTGCGGAGAACAATGTTAACATTATTAAGGGAGGGAATTTTGTTTACATTTGTAAGTTCATCTAAGTAATGAAGAACTATTAATTTTTTAATTTGAATGCATTTGTCCAGCTTAGCATAAAAAATAACCATATTAACCAAGAAATGAGCAAAATATGAACTTGTTAATAATAATTTTTTGCTTGCTGAAAATATTAACAGACGTATTTAACCCTTTGAGGGTCGACAGGCCCTCTCCGAGACTCGTTCTCAGGGTCAGCCAAATTTAAAAAAAAAAATAATAATTTTTTCTTATGAAAAGATAGAGATCATAATGACACCAAAAGTATGAAATTTGATGGAAAACTTATGGAATTATGCTCTCGCGAAGTTAGCGGTATCGGCGATGTTTGCGCATCGGCGATTTTGCTCACTATGAGCCCCATTTTCGGCCAATTCCACTGTACTAGTCGACAAAAAACATGAATATTTCGCTAGAACTCCATTTTTTCTATCGAATGAGTGCAAGAAACCACCCATTTACCAATTTCAACTATCCAGTACAGTGGTCAGAATTTAGCAATTTTGCCAATTTCACACAAATTTCAAAAGATGCCAATTTCTGAATAAGGTCCAGAATAAACAAGAAAGACATTACTGGCACTAAAATGACATTTCCTCTGTTCATTAGTCACATCTCAAGGCCCCTCTTACATTCTTTTGCTTTCCACTTTGAATTTTTATTTTCACAAAAAATTGAAGATTTACTGTTATGCAGACTGCTGCATTAGTGTAAAAATGGTATAAATAATATTGGAACACTTGCAAAAGAATATTAGACTCACCAGTTGACGTGTATTGGACACTTGGCATGATTTGTTTACTTTTGAACTTTGGTAAAAATCGAACATTTCTGCTACTTTGAGCTCAATTTCAAGGTACTTTTCATTGTAAAACCAGTCAAAATCATCTCAATTTCTGTAATATGTCTTCCAATCTATAAAATGAGACTAAGAAAACTAGAATACAACAATAAATACCATATGAAAATACAGTGCAAAGTCGCTGTTTTATTCCAAAAAAACGGTCAAAGATTTTTTTTCTCATTATGCACTGTGTGCTGCAGGATTTTTTTTATACTGTGCACACTGACCACATAGACCCATTCTTTCATATGTAGGCCTACCAGCTTTCTCCCACTAGATTTGAGGGCGCTAGAATTTAGGTGTGCTAGTACATCAAAAACCCTGGGTCATAAGCCGTACTAGTACAGCTGACACCCTCAAAGGGTTAACAAACAAATAAGTACATCATAACCGTGAAGCACTATTTTTCCGATTTTCTCAGGTACATTACTGTACTACAATTTTATAATGATGCAAAACTATTCTTTTATTTAACCCTTAAACGGTCCAAACGTATATATACGTTTTTTCAACATCTGAAAGTATGTAAAAAAATGTAGATCTTCTTTTTTGTTTTACATTTGAAAACGTGTAAAAAACTTTTATCTACATTTTTTTTTTTTGTTATATTTGAAAATATGTAAAAAAAAGTAGATCTACTTTTGTAGCACTACGAATTTGAACGTCGATCTGTTTGGATCGTTTAAGGGTTAAAGGAAAATTTCTAGTTCATTAGAAAGTGAACATTAAAATGGTATAAAATACCGACAGGTTGTTAGGTAAGACACATATGCAACAGTTAGGTATCTTTATTTCGAAACGTTTCGCCTACACAGAAAGTGAATATGTGATCTGAATGACCTTATCACTAACTAGATTCATTCACAACACTATGGTTTTTACAAATTTAAATGTTGAAATATCCTAATTTCAAGATAAAATATTTAATTTCTAAAGAAAATGATCGTACCACAAACCCATAACTTGTTCAACAAGATGCTCCTGGATGGTGTGGCGCCATATAACACCTGTCACCTCAGGTCGAGCATTACACCTCAGTGCAATATCTGAAGCCTTTACAACTCCCCTCACACAAGCAATCATGCTACCACCACTCTCTGTCACTCTGCCAATGAGGCTGGAATTTATTTCCAACTCTGGTGTTTCCTGAAACACAAGAGAAAGACTTTATAATAATTATTTTTATGAATACAAGGATACATTTTTCTTATAATTTTTAGTAATTTGTACAGGAGGAAGTGGAGATGTCATGTCTGAGGGTAATATAGTGGACCCCCAGTTATTGGCCGGTTTGGTTATCGGCCAACTTGGTTATCAGCGGGTTTTTCGGCGCTCGGTTATCGGCCGTTTGCTCGGTTATCGGCTGTTTTGGACGCATCCATCCACCGGCTGGGGCAGCTTGTGCTTCAATTTGGCTTTGTCTCTCGGTGGCTGAGGAAGCTTCTGCTCATACATCCAAACATTTCACTTGTTTACCATTGTTTTTAGTGGTTTTTCTTGCAGTGCAACTGTGAAATAAGTAAAGATAGCTCCAAAGAAAGTTCCTAGTAAAGTTCTTGTGGTAAAGAAAGTGAGAAACACAAAGGAATTTAAGCATGAAGTGATAGAAAAGTTTGAGAGTGATATGAGGGTGATGGAACTTGCCAGGATGTACAGCAAGAATAAATCACAATTACATCCATCCTGGCAAAGAAAGAACAAATCAAAGATGCTAATGTTGCAAAAGGAGTAACTTTTCTAACTAAACAAAGACCACCAATAATGGAAAAGTTATTATTGTGGATTAAGGAAAAAGAATTAGTGGGAGACAGTGTTGTGGAGTTGATCATTTGTGAGAAGGCAAAGCAGTTGCATGAGGATCTTGTAAAGAAAATGCCTGGAACAAGTGCTGCAGTTTGTGAATTTAGGGCCAGCTAAGGATGGTTTGATAGATTTAAGAAGTGTAGTGGCATACACAGTGTTGTAAGGCATGGTGAGGCTGCAAGTTCTGACAAATGTGCAGCTGAAAAGTATGTTCATGAATTCCAGGACTATGTAAAGGCTGAAGGATTTGAACCCTAACAAGTGTTTAATTGTGACGAAACAGGCCTATCCTGGAAGAAAATGCCAAACAGGACCTACATTACCCAGGAGAAAAAGGCACTGCCAGGACACAAGCCTATGAAGTGGTTGTGGAAGTCATGTTGCTATTGTATTAGACTCATAATGAGTTCAGCATGACCTTGGCTGCAGATATATCTACAATACATCTGTAAAAATGCATATTTGTTGTTGATCTTTGGGACCATTGCCCCCAGTTGTGCAGTCTCAGACCAGACCTCCTGTTAGACAGCTACTAATCTAACAATCAGACTGTTAGTTCTAGATGCATGTAGCTTTTTATTTCAAAAACTGTTTCAACAAATGTTACCGATTTCATTGAAGTTACATACCTAGTCAAAGATTTCTCCCATATACAAATGTAGTGTAACTATTAACAAGCACCAATCTAAAAAACAGCCTAACATACAGCTACAATTTCTCTGTTTAAGTTTTCATTTACCAACTCACAAAATCATACTACGGTTGTAACCAGCTCACAGAACAGGTAGGAATCGAACCTACGAAAAGCCAGTTCTAAAACTGGCAGGCCAGTATGCTGACACTGTACAGTTGTTTGCACACCGGCCTGCCAGTTGTAGGACTACCTCCCCATTGGTTTGAATCTCAGTTGTTCTGTAAGTTTTCTTTGTTTTCCTCTGATACTTTTTTTTTTTTTGACCAGTTCAGCAGCCTTTTTTACTTCTGTAAAGTTTTCTATGTTCTTTTTTTGTTTTAGGCTTTCTTGGGATATATTTTTAACAGATTCTGTATGTGAAATTACATTGATGGTTAACTCATAAATCCATTGGAATGTATGGAAATTTTTGTATATAATATATCACTATAATATTACATTATTATTATATCAATGGTGCAAGTGCTAAACCAACAGGGGTCAGAAAGTGCCTGGGAGAATGTAAGGTAATAAAGAGCTACTCACTACCATCAAGAAACCTCCCTTGAGGGGGATAATATAATATATAAATAGCTAGTGCAGTGGTAAATTTGTCATATTAGCTTTACAATAAAGTGTGTTCAGCAGCTTTAACTGTATTATGTGTATTACCTTCTATGTTGTTTGAAAGTTACATTTCTAAACAGTGTAATCAGTTTTATTTTTTAACAGAAACAGCTACAGTACAGTATCCAGTGTACTGTATATATTATGCAATACACAAGTTTAATGTATGGTTGAATATCACTTAATTAAGGATAATATTATGTGTAGGATGACGCAGTTTTCAATTTGTTATATGTACAGTAATAATTTTCGGAGTTGCTTAAAATACTGCCCAATATAATAAAATGTAAGAAAAATTAGCTAAAACTGTAATTCAAATGAAAATGGTATCTGGTGAGGTCACCAAATCTCCAAACACCAACATCCATGAGTTGTCAGCCTCATGGGAAAATATAATCATGAATTCTCCAACAACATAATTTAGGTTTATTTTAGTTTACATTACATTAAGTTAAGTTGTGTTATAGCGACTACATTAGGTTAGTGCTTACCAATAATTTCACTATATTATATATATATATATATATATATATATATATATATATATATATATATATATATATAATATATATATATATATATATATATAATTATATATATATATATATATATATATATATATATATATATATATATATATATATATATATATATATATATATATATATATATATATATATATATATAAAAGAATGCTTTTCTTATCAATTGGTGACTTGAGAAAGCCAAAGATCATTGGAATTCAGTTAAATTATAAAATAAATTAAGTAACATATACTATTATTTTATGAAACCAAAGGAGCAAACTATTAATATATACAGGTAATGTCAATGATATGCAGATAATGTCAAAGACTAATGTTTTATAACTCACAAATGTTTTCCATGAACACATAATTAATATAAATAATGGCATAAAAGTATAAAGATGTAATCAAGTATAACAAAAAAAAACAGGTTGAATATTAAGTTATTTAATTTATATATTTTTTAATCAGAGGGAAGTGCTAAACCCACAAAGGTCATACAGCACCTAAGGAATGGGAGGCATTCAGGTTCAATCAAGGAAGGCAAGGAAAAGACTAATTCTTCGAATCAAGAGCCTTCATTGGCATCAAGGAACCTCCCTAAAGGTCTGTTAAAACCCTGGGGAAGCACTAAACATGCATGGGTCCTGGTGCCTGGGGTAAATAATCAGGTTTAAATCAAGGAAGTGGTTGCTAACTAAACTCAAGGATGCGGGTGTCACGTAGCTCGATCACTAGTGCACTCAGCTCACACACTGAGGTCCGGGGTTCGAATCTCCTTCGGTACAGCTGAACAACATTAGGGACGTGTTTCCATAAGACACCTGCTGTCCTTGTTCACCCATCAGTTTAAAATGGGTAACTGTGTGTTAGTCGACTGGTATGGATCACATCCTGGGACAAAACTGACCAAATTTGCCCAAAATGCTCAGCATAACAAATGGCTTTCTATATAGTAATATGTCAGTGAAGTCAGCTAGGCCTGTATATCTTATACATGTACTTGTAGTAAATAAAGATATTATTTTATTATAGTCACGGGGAAGCCCTAAATATGCATGGGTACTGGCGCCGGGGGTAAATAATCAGGTTTAAATCAAGGAAATGATACCTAACTCCACTCCACTGGATGGAGAACCCTTCACTGGCATCCAAGGCACTACTTCCTCCTCCCCTCTGAATAATTTTTCAAATTCAATTATTGTCCTCAGATACGTTAAGTTACATTTACCTTGAGATGACGAACCACATCCTGGCCAGCACGTACAAAGCGACAGAAAAGGTAAGTAAATCCCGTGCTGATGCCCAGACCTAATAAGTCCATTGTAAAGTCCTTGAAACTCATGACTAGGGGTTTATAGTGCCACTGACAGAAAAGATATTCTTCAGAAGTGTTGCAGATAAACAGTTCCTATGACAAGTGTCCTTCTTGTTGGGTTTTTAAGGGACACTGACGGCTCACACCGTAACAAACTCTGCTTCCTGGTATAAGTCAGGGAATATAAAATGGTTATAACTATGTAATCCTTTGATTACTGCCCACAGGATGGGTATGAGGTGCATAATGAAGATATTAAACTATAATAAAATTATTACCATAATTTTTAAAGGGGTGGAGGGGTAAGCCAGTGTAAGGCCTCGGTCAGATGGCCCAAAGCTCCAACGGTGGGATATCATATGACAAAGACCCGCGTCAGGAAACATTTGTCCTGTTTCCTGACGAACCTGACCTAATCTATAAGTCAGTAAGTTTATTCAGGTACAGGTACACATAAGTACAATTATCACGCATAGTATAAATTACCTATGATAACTCAAAAAGAAAGTCAAAGTGACTTATTTCTACTGGGATCCTTGCAATATCTTATTGATTAAACCTTAAAAGTTAAAGCAACTAAGTAACTCAACTGTGTGAAAATCAGTTACAATAAAAGGAGATATACTAGGAATAAGATAAACTGACTTATTTACATTAACATTAAAGAGATGATCAGTATACAATAATAGGTACATGCACGTTAGCTGTTCAAGAAATCACTCTCCTCCCTTTCTGTAGCTTCATACACTAAGTATCTTTTAGCTCTATTCCTGAACTGGCTCATGCTAGGACAGGCTTCGACATGTTTACCTGGAGTTTACCTGGAGAGAGTTCCGGGGATCAACGCCCCCGCGGCCCGGTCTGTGACCAGGCCTCCTGGTCACAGTTTAAAGCCTGACCACCTGCTGAAGGTACTGTGAAATTTTGCTCATTTCTCCTAGTTCCATACTGACTTTAGTCCCCAACCTTGACAAGCTTAGCAGTAAGATATTCTGGACACTACTTGTGAGCGACTTTATAAACTTGATTTAACTTCAGTTCCTTTACTCTGTCTTCAGCATTCAGTATATCCAGTTGCTGCAATTCATCCTGGCCTACATGCTCTCTTGGACCAAGCTCCAGGATGAATTTCACCATTTTGTACTGGGTGATTTCTGGTTCGTCTTTCATTTTTTTTTCTTGTTAAAGCAGAGTACCATGAAGAACAAAAATAACTATAACACTGTATAATTGCATAAGAGCTAGATATAGGGTTCTGCGGGCTTCAATAGGTAGACACTTCCTGTCTGTAGAGGAATTTTAACCTGGCATTCGCTTTTTTTAACTATAGTGTTCCCTTTCGAATTTTCTGACATGCATGGAGAAAAGATATTGCCCAAAGCTGGGCCATGAAAGAAAAGTCAACAGGAGTCCCTTTGTGAATACAAACAGAAACTAGAAGTTCCTAAATAGACCAGGTGAACCCTCACCAAGCCTCAGCAGAGCGGGACGCTCACACTTCACCTGAGTTTAGAATCGGCTTTCCACTTAAATCGTTAAAATAAACAATTTGCAGAACGGAAAAATGGTGATGGCTAAAATTGAGCCGATAACAGGTGCTCCTCCAGTAACGTGCCCAGCGGGAAGAATAAGATGAGGACAAGCGCTTTAGAGAGAATGGGAAGAATTTGTTACTGACGTTCGAGCGAGAGCGAGATGTCCACGGTCGACGAAGGCTGTTAAGGGCTATCAAAGTTTACTCCCTGTTGAGTCCCGTCTTCCGGGAGTCCGGGAAAAATATGTTACCCAAATATGAGCGGGAATTATAAAGGCAGCAAAGTTTCCTCCGGAAAAAGTAGCGGAAGCAGTAAGTTCCCAGTTAGAACAGGCAGACATGACAGATGATATCGAATCAGAGGTCTTCCTGCTCGCAGAAGATATGAAACTAATGAGGTGAATGCAAACAGGAGCAGACCAGGAAAGACTACAAATGAATTTGGACAAGATACAGGATTGGTCTGACGGGTGGTTTGGAGAATTTAATTCCAAACAAATTTCAAAATTATGAAAATAAAGAAACCACAAAGTAGACCGGAAACAAAGTATAGGCTCGGGAAACACAGGCTGCAAACTTCCGTGAATGAGGACATCGGGATGAGCATAGTTTTGAGCATTTCACCTGAGGCACACATCAGCCAAATAACTACCGTAGCAAACGAAAGACTGACAAATTTAAGCATAGTTTTCAGAACCCCAACAAATTTGCACACGAAAATCACTCCCTACGAAAGCAAAAGACTCGGCAGATGGTGCAACATCCCCCCAATGAAAAGCAGGGGTGCCACTAGCACGATAAGAGACAACACAGTAAGTGTCAGGGGCCCAAGACTGTTCAACTGCCTCCCAGCATACATCAGGGGGGGTTACCAATAGGCCCCTGGCTGTCTTCAAGCAGACACTGGACAGGCACCTAAAGTCAGTACCTGACCGGCCGGGTTGTGGTTCGTACGTTGGATTACGTGCGGCCAGCAGTAACAGCCTGGTTGATCAGGCCCTGATCCACCATGAGGCCTGGTCAGAGACCGGGCCACGGGGGAGTTGACCCCCGGAACTCTCTCCAAGTATACTACAGGTAAGGAGGCATTCACGACCCTATAGAAGGAATATGTCAGGCCCGTCTTATAGTACGTAGTGCCACTAGGAAACCTGCTTCTGATAAAACATCTCAAGAAACTGGAAAAAGTATAAAGATTTGCTACAAAACTAGTCTAAGAGCTGAAGGGTTTGATCTATCAGGAAAGACTAGAGGAGTTAATCCTGACGGCACTAGAAGATAGAAGAACCATGGGTGATAGGATCACGATGCACAAAATGCTGAGGGGAATTGGCAGCTGGAAGCTAAAAATACATGAATCACAGGGATGTCAGGAAATACTTCTTTAGCCTTAGAGTGATCAGGAAGAGGAATTACCTAGATAGCGAAGTGGTGGAAGCAGGATCTATACATAGCTTTAAGAATAGGTATGACAGGGCTTATGCAACCAGGAAAGTGTGGAGCTAGTAGCGGCCAGCAGAGAAGCTGGCCCAGGAGTTGAAGCTCAACTCCTATAGCCACAAACACGCCATCTGAGACAACAACAACAGACTTTCCTATTGCCTAAAGAATATATTTGTGACCTAATTCATTATTTTTTTTTATTAACACATCTGCCGATTCCCACCAAGGGAGGGTGGCCCGAAAAAGAAAAAACTTTCATCATCATTCACTCCATCACTGTCTTGCCAGATGGGTGCTTTACACTACAGTTTATAAAACTGCAACATTAACACCCCTCCTTCATGTCTGCATAAAAGAAAAAAAACTCATTGCGATTGTAACCAGAAAGAAACATGTAATTAGTTCATTACTACTGTAACTCGTTTAGCTATTAAAAGTTTTCGGCCCAGGATGCGTATAAGATGCATAGTAAAGATGTTAGACTAAGTAAAGAAAATAATATATGGCGCTCCGAATACTCGGCCTGCAGCGGCAGTGTGGTGAGGACCGGTAACCCATTGAGGGGAAAACCGAAAATTGGTCACAGATGATCAAGGCAGTGGTAGAGCGAGACATTCACACTCC